CAAGTGGGGGTTGGGATGGGGGGTGACGGGAGGTGGATGTGGGAAATAAGGTGGCGAAGACTGAAATAGAATTTAGAAAAATATTTTCTCCTTTTTAGTAAGAAGTCATGTTTCTCCGATTTCATAATATAAATATTTTTTAAAATATTTAAACTAACCAAATACCCATAATCCGTGACATAACATTCTTTCATCGTTTCAATGGAGTAGGAAAAAGAAAGATAGAAAAAGAAAAGACCACACATGCATCACACATGGGGCCATAGTAACCCCGCATTTTAGCGTGAAGCAGCTCAATATATACACCCTCGCCATGGGCGCCATTTCATTTTTGCAACTACGAATCCGTGACATTTCAAAAACCTTGGCGATCTGATAACACAATCTCTCTCCCAAAATCTCACAGTAATCAGGTCATGCGAACTCGATTTCTCTGCACAGATTACTTCAATTCCACTCCAATTTCAGCTCGCGATTTCCTCCGCCTCCCTCTTTCGCCTCATCTCACTGACCCGAACACCTCTAAATTTGAAGACATTAATTTTTCTGACGGAGTTTCTACTCTTAGTATCGATGTCGAAATCGAGAAATTTCCGATCGAGACAGCTCTCTCCAGCTTCTTCGCCGATGTCCTTCCGCACAACATTGATGTTGAACTCTCCGAGTTCGCAGATCCTCAGCCTTTCGCTAGTTGCAGTTCCGAGGTGCAAACAAGCAAAACTACGAACTCAGAGGTAAGTGCTGAGCACAATTCGAACTCTTTTAGGGTTTAAATATTACTACATACATTATAATCTATGTGACGGTGTTTGACTCGCTATCGGAGTTTAAGAAGAAAAACAAAAAGAAAACTCCGAAACTTGTGTTATAAAATGGGTCATAAATATTTGCGTGATTATAAATTATCTCGTTAAAGTTAAAATGAGCATTTTAAAGTAAAAATTGTTACTAAATATAAAAAGATGTCGTTATGTCTGGGACTGACTAAAAAGAAAAGAGTGTCACATAAATGGAGGGAGTACTATTCCCGTGTAACATTTTAATTGGAAGTGTTGTGTGAATTAAAATGCATGCTTATGTTAATTGAGGATCTCTCCAATTTGCATTGAGTTATCTGTCAATATAAGCTCCCCCTGAGATTTGTTTAAGGATTTGTCACTTCCAAAGGGAGCTTCAGTACACTAGACTTGTCACTTTTAGTTTCACAATAATTCTAAAAGATACTGCATATTAGCACATTTTGATGTGATTATATTAAATTTTAAAAGATGTTTCTTCATCATTTATTATAATTTAGAAAATTTCTAATGGAGAGTTTATGGTGCAGATGTGATGATAATAAGAGAATTATTTTCGTGTTGCGTGTTTTGGAACTAAGATTCCCCATTTGGAACTCATATTCATCCGTACAACCTTCCAATTTTGTTAAACATACAACCAAAGATTAAGGTATCCTATTAAATCTTTAGAGATTTGAGATTCCTGGTAGACTTTCTAGTGATGGCTCCATGTGCTTCACTGATACAGTAATATCTGAGTTTGTATTGGGATACTGGTAACTATTTGCTATTTATAAGGTAGTGTTATGCTGAAGTCTAATACGTAAAAAAGTACATGTGCTGCACATGTCTTTAAGAATATTAATGAGGCTTAGGCAACGAAAAGAAATTTAATCTCAAGTGAGAAAGAATACAAGTTGGTTTCAAGAAGCAGCTCCAGTCTTCACCTTATCTCAACATTACGTCTGTCTTTGGCTGCTCATATACTTTTTTGTTGCAGGGGACTATTGTTTCCTACAGCAAGGGGAAGGACAATCTTGAAATGGTCCAACTTGAAATTCGGGTGCTGGATACATCCTGGCTTCCATTGGTAAACCATCATGGCAATCAAGCATATACGATTTATATACTACTAGCTAAATTCTTATGTGGAACTTCTGGATTTATTTGTTTTCCTGTTGTCAGCTAGAAGACATCCCTTATTTTGGAAAGGAGAACTTGTCGATTCCCTCTCATTCGGATGGTGAAAATAAGCTGGTAATATTTTGATGAATTACATATCTCTTCAGGCATTCAAGTTTCTATGACCGCAGTGAAGTGCTTTGGTTTATCTTGCTACCTTTTACAATGACAGTGAACTACCTAGGATAGGAATTCTATGACTGCAGTGAAGTGCGTTTGGTTTGTCTTGCCACCTTTTACGATGACAGTGAACTACCTAGGATAGGAATTACCAACTCCCTCCTTCTGCCAAGAAGAAGCCTTTTGTCAAAAATGAAAAATGGGTGGTTCATATTGATAGAAGAAGCTTAACGATTTTCTTTATGATATAACTTTGTAGTTACATGTCTTCTATGTGTTTGTGCAGCTGGGACTATGATTCTGAAGCAATGTCCTCTAGCACTTTTCCTGTTGGCCTCAATCATCATTTGTGAAACTGGATTACTATCTTTCTTTTGTATTTTCTGATGCTCTTAACTTGACTACTGAAATCTAAGAATCACCTAATAAGGTTCTTAAATACAATTTGCTGGGATATTGTCCCAAACTGAGCTTACACAGTTATGCGACCGAGACCTTTCACTTCTCAATCTGCGCCGTCCTTCAGTTTCAAACATCTTTTCTTTATATATTGATCTAAATGATAGTGATGTTCAAAGACACAGTGACCTCTTATGAAGTAATGAAGTTTGTTCATTGTAGAGGACATGAAGAAATTGTACTCCATGCCATCACGTTAATTTACTTCTCTGAGACTGCGTAGACAGAAGGGAAAGACCTAACCAAATAAAGCGCTACTTTCACCTTTTAAGTGCTCCACGTACTGGTTTGGCACATCATTGTTCACTTTTTGCAGGATATGCCCGGTCTTGAAGTTTGGCTGCCAGATTCCCCTGAGATCCTGCAATCAATTTGTTCAGTGGATGACATCTCTTCTGTGGCTGTACTGGAGAAAAGTGCTGATTTGATGGAAGATGGTGCTTTCTGTCAGGGGCAATATCATTCTAGTACAGATGTCTTTCCTCATCTTGAAGTGGATGAGGCAGGTTTGGTTATTGTCAGTGACAACTCTGTAAAGGAGAAAGTTCTAAGCATTGAAAATATTGAGCTTCACTGTGAGACGCCAGGAAGTGAAGGAATGGGTAGCAGCAATGAGCTTTTGGGTTCCACAAAGTTTGACACATTCCAACACCTATCAGATGGTAGTTTCGCAATGGGCTGTTGTGAAGTTGAGGTTCCGTGCTTGAATTTCTCTGCGGAGATGGATTTGATAAGTATTATTGAACTTGAGAAAAACTCGGTGATCCATGAAAGCATAGAAAATGATGGTCTAATATGGGTAGCAAGCCCAATCATTTTTGATGAATTGCAGTTCTTTGATTCAGACCTTTTTTCTTTACGTGAATTCCAGTCTGAAGCAAAAGTAGATATTGATAAAGATACATGTGACCTAATGTTGAGAGAAGCCGAGAATTTCAGGAACTTTGATGAATTGCTTGTTTCCCATGAGCTCATCCCTGTGGATAATTCTTTCAGATCATTGCCTGTGCCACCAGTTCCTGAGAATGGAAATATAAAGTCACTGTACTTGTGTATTAAGGAAATCCTAGCTGAGTTGGAGCCGCAGTCTCCCTCCATGTCCGATGGGTTATACTTAGATTGGCATTTTCTGGAAGAAGAGAAATGCGAGTATCGAGAAGACTGTTTCAATTTGCTGAGGGAGATAGATGCTAACGACATTGCCTTTTGCTTGAACTTCAGTGACAATGAGATGCTTGTATCGGACTATTTTTTCTCAAGTGATAGTCCACAAGAACCAAACAGAGCGGAGAGCAAGGAAATGCTGAGTTTACCTTCTAATGGCATTCCTATATCTCCCATCCCTTATAGCATAGAAGTGTCAACTAAGTTGCTGAATGATGGGAAGTTCCCAACTGAAGGAGTATCATCCCAATGTATTGCTAGAAAAGCATCTTCATTTGGTGACTCCAGGTCAAAGTTTAATGATCTTGATTTTTTCTTAAATCGTAAGGAGTATAGTAGAGGCAAAGATTATAAACCAGCTGACAGTTCAATTGATACTAGTGCCATGGACCAGATCAGCTTCCTCTCTTCTTCTGCAACCACATTATTGCAACCTCAATGGAATATCAAGGTGCATCAAATATTGTTATCTACTGATATTCTACTTCTAATTGATGATCTTAAGAAGATCTTTCTAGCTATCTTTGAAAGACAGAGAGAGTTGATTGAGATTCAGGATCCATCTCAAGCTGTGGACGATGATGCTATTCTTCGCCTTCCAAAGAAAAAGCTCATCAATTTAATTAAGAAAAGAGGCATATGCAGGTCATCTTTGTTCCAGGATGGTGATAAAACGATGTCATTGGTCACATTGTCTGCAATCAAACAGATGGTTTGGTACCTGTGCTACTATGATCTGCATACAACCTATCTATACATAGAAAAGTTATCCAGGAGCTTGCAGGGATTGGAATCTAAACTTGATTTCATCTACAACATCGTAAAAGATGTGCATCAAAAGGGTGAAAACGATATACATAAGTTCCATCCATCGCTATCCGTTATCAAGGATATACTGGAGACATTTAAGAGCAAGGATAGTTCAAAGATATTAATTGTGGCTGAGCCAGTGTTCTGGTGGTCATTGAAGAAACTATTGACGTCCATGAATATTGCATTTTTTCAACAACAGAATGGACAGAAGGATGATTTTTACAAATTAGAAGATGCTAGCATGCAAATGATTCACGAATCAGATTGCTGTTTAGTAACCCGTGAGTAAGTGGTAGTTCCTACAGAAAGTATGCTGGGATTGGGATATTAGCCTGCTTAAGAGTATGGTTGATCAAACTTACAGTTTCCAATTTTTTGTCTGTATCCTTGTATTTAGATGTAGTGTTTGCTATTCTTTCCAATTCATTGTTCAGGATAAACATTAGCATTTTGACAGCTGGCCTGCTTAGTCCTCAGTGATTCAAATAGCAGAAGATATCTGTTTTTGATCAGGCTGGAAAATAGTTAATTTTTGACCTTTTGAGACTCCAGCTTGATGTTTTGCTAGTCCATTGTAATTGCTGTTTCATTCCTGATAAAGATTCAGGTTTTAGTTGGGTGATCTATACAAACTTCACTGACGTTAAGGTGCCTCTAGGAGAAAAGTATTCTAAATTTAAAGATAACTAGTCATTTTTAGCTGCAAAACTACTACTTATAAGAACTAAGATATTAATCTCGTGTGAGGAAAGGCAGAGGTAGGCAGAATAAGTATTGGAGTGAGGTAGGTAGGCAGAATAAGTATTGGAGTGAGGTGATTAGGGGTGACATGGCACATCTTTAGCTCAACGAGGACATGTCCCTTGATAGTCGGATGTGGAGGGCGAGGGTTAGGGTAGAAGGCTAGTAGGCAGTTGCACGTCCTCCCTTTCCTTCCAGTAGTAGTAGCGTTTTTAGTATTTCCATATGCTTAAAATTCTATTACTACATGATATTGCTTGTGTTTTGATTGTTCTACTTCCTTGTTGTTATTACTGTTTCCCTGACTTTTACATTATTGTATTTCTTCTCTGTACTGTTGTGATTTGCATGCTTGCTTGGAGCCGAGGGTCTACTGGAAACAACCTCTCTACCTGCACAAGGTAAGGGTAAGGCTGCGTACACACTACCCTCTCCAGACCCCTATTTGTGCGAATACACTGGGTTTGTTGTTGATAGATTGGCTGTGTGAACGGTATTAATCATTCACTCAATAACCTATGGATGTCATATTAATGGTCTTATCCTTCTCTGGCAGATGCATTTCTGATTTTTGCCATTAATATGTATTTATGCAGCAAAAGGGTGTCAAAGTAGTTCAAAATTTGATTAATTAGTGATAGATAGCAATTCCATAGTTTGCCAAGGAAAAAGAAAAATATCTACAGAAGTCTGGGAGAATTTGAATGAATTTACTTTTCATGAATTTGAATGGGTCCTTAAGAATCATATTTTCTTCTAGATAAATTGCCCTGGAATGCTGAGGTATTACCATCAAAACAGAATGTTGACGTTACATTCAAATCCTTGAGTTTGAAGTGTTGTGATCCTCATTGAATCCATGGCCTTGGTTGATGAATTTTAATTTCTTTTTCCTATTATCTCTTTTCGATCAGATCTTTGCTCTCTAACATGCTTGAATGAAGCTACTTATTTGCTTTAGTTTTAACTTAAAATCTACAGTTTACCATTTAGTAAGTATCATGGCAGACAACGTATGGTTTGGCTACATTGAGGCAGTTCAAATTTTATTTGTTCTTAATATTGTTTACCACAATGCTGTTCACAAGTTCCCTAAATTTAGATTGAGATTTAACGAAATGAACTGATATTCCCACTTTTTTTCTCCAGGCATCTGTTTGCCTCATTTCCATTTGAGAAATTTGAGATTATCTTGGAATATGGAGGTTCACAAGAATCATCTAAAGTATCTTCCATCTTGCCAAAGTCAGATAGAGTTCCTCCCCTTCATTTCCTTAAGGTGGAGCTGGAGGACCCCAGTGTTGCAAAAGCTCTTTGTGATGGTGTTGACATGCCCAACATTAATGAAGCTAGTGTGGCAAGTTTCTTTCCTTCACTCGACTACGATCTATTTCACTATCAGTTTGACAAATAGCACATAGTTCTGTGTTTCCTTTCCGGGAACGCATGACACCAAATTGTTTTTGTAAACGGAATGAAAATTTTGAATATTGTCAAATTTTTAATATTCTAATTGTTTTGCTATTTTGTTTCTGAGTCACAACATATAGTTCAATTTGCATTAAAGTGTTAACTACTATGGTATTTATACTCCAAGAGACGTGATGGTTGTTAATTTTCTGAGTTAGAATATGGTCCGTAATTAATCTTATACGTATAAGTTTGTACTTTTGACTACTTAGGTTTGATCCCTTCCTCATTCTTTTGGTACTCTGTCTGCCTTTTCTTGTTTGGCTGAAATTTTCAACATGGCCAAGTTGATTCCCTGTTTGACCTCCCCTTGTGGTGGATTAATCTCACTCTGGCCTGATATATTTCCATTTTTGCGTGGTAGTGAGGTTTTCTCCATCCAAGTCATATTCTGTGGCTGGTAAATTATGAACAGTTGGGGGATGAGCTTATCATTTCTGATAAAAGTACCAAATTTTTTACAAAAAGAGAATCATTTTGTGTTGAATACTTTATGATGTCGATCAGACTAGAAATATTTAATTCAAATCTTCGAGAACGGATTCCTATAGTTCATTCCTAGGGGCTTCAAAATTTGGATCTTCTGCTGACATGCTCTTTTTCTAGGAAGGAGGTCCTCACTCTTGCTCTACTCTCAATGAGATTGACGTTACCTTTGAAGAACTGCTAAATTATCTTCCAGTGGAAAAGAACTTGAAGGGTGGGAGCATGGAGGCATTACTGGGAAATGAAGCTTGCTCTACTGCAGCTGAAGATGCAGTATTCAGTTCAAAATCTGAGCAAAATCGCAGAAGCATAGATGGCTGTCCTGAGACTATCATTATAGTTAACACACACAATTTTGACACGGAAATGGTAATTTCAAGGAGAAGTACATACCAAAAGATTCTTGCATTTGAGAAGAAAGGAGTTCAGGTCATAGAGCGTGATTTACGTCAGCCTGTCGATATTATAGTTAGTGCATCCGCTTGCCTTGCTTGGTATGACTGCAAAAACATTGCAAAGAAAGCTACTGCCTCCGAAGAGGCTTTCTCTTGCTTGCCTCAATGTGTCGAGAATATTGCAGCAAATATTTTGACGTCACTCAGTTTTGCTTTCAGTGGCTGCATTCTGGTAATTAGCTTGTTTTTGTTTTTTCTTTTTTTCAAACTGTTCCTACCCAGGTAGTTTTGTGCTAGATCTAAGATATGCAATGCAATTATTTCCGCAAGAGCACTGGAACCC